AAAATCTTTACTGATAGACTGTCTTTAGACAGTAGTGTCTTTAGACATGATACTGTGAGTTAGACATGGAGTCTGAAGCCACAGACAAATTCTTTTTTTTCTAGGTAAATACTTCTGATATTACTAATATAATACTTCTGGGAATATTTCTGCAGTAATGGTCTCTTTTTTCCACAAACTAAACAAAGTTACAGACCATGTAGCTCTAAACTGCAAGCTGTAGATGTCATACGTGAACAGTATGCCCCGTTTAGTGAAAAAAACTTAAAAAATGCAAACGTTCACAGCAATTATATTCACTACTAGCCATAACATTACAGGAGAAAATTAGTCTATTCAGAATTAAATTTGAATGGAGAGCAAACCCTTGAGCGAGGCCATCTGGGTTTGGTTCTTACCCTCCAAAATATCTTCATAAAGTGCATGTACTCCTTCTGGCACAATGACAGCCAAGGCAGTCCCACATAGCAGCCCAGCACCCAGAACAGTCACCAACTTCAACCTCTCCTGCAAGCAAGTAGAAAACAAGTATCATCTTTACGAATAAAAATGCTTTCTTTAATCTCCCTTATTAACAGAGGTTGGGACAGGGGGTTACTTGTTACATTAGTATTGACAATTTGCAATTAAACTTTAACAACAATACCTAAAAATGGTTTTACAGTATAGCAAAGAATAATAGTTTAACTCATATTTTGGGAAGAATTTCTACAAGATTAAAAAACAGACATAGTTTATCAGTACTTGTACTGTTACTTAGGGTTATCTTCCTAGTTATATTCTAATTTGGGGCAAAAAGCTTAGAGACTTATCACTCCTCCCAAACTCACTATATTATGTTTTATCAATAAAACTACCAATTCATTTCCTCGTGACAGGCTTAAGTCAAAGCCATGTACTAAAATCCAATTACATGAACATCTAATAGACTCTAAAATACAACAGTTTGCAGAGGCCACTTCTCAAAATTTCTGTAAGAGCTCATATCACATGGAGCAATCAGGGGAGTCTAGGTCCTCATAACAACCACGTAGCACATATTTTGTGGCAGAGCCATCATCATCATCTCCCATGCTCAATGCTACCAAAATACAGACTTTAACTACTGAGGACCTGGACGCAGAAGTCAGTGTCTGATTAACGGGAAACCACTTGCCACATACCCTTCTTGTGCCATCCATCCTCCTTCGTGCACCATAATGACACAAATTGTTCAGTCTCACCAAAACAGGCAACACTTGCACAGAAGAAGTAGGAGGCTCTAGGGAGGTGCATAGCTAACCTTCTGAAAGCAAGCCAAATGTGGCCGTAAGGAAACAATTGCAGCATTACTGGGGAAAATTCAAATAGTAATATGGAAGAGATGAAAACACCTGTAAAGTTTCTGCAAACATGCACCTTATAGTGCCATATATAATAACTATACTTGGTAAATTGTTATACAGTGGCAATCTACGTTAAAAGATAACCTTCAACATCCACTTTTCATAATCATTTTGCAAAAACATAGTATCTTACAAGGGAAAAAAAATTATTTTTACCTGCAACACTATAGCATCTTTTGCATACATACATAAAAAAAGGGAAAAAGTGTCAAAAGTAATACTGATTTATTACAACTGCAAATACAGAGTACTGCTTGCTTTCCCTTGGGCATCTGTGAATTTTGAATATCCATGGAAATAATACACACTAACAAGTTAGTGTTTCAAGATAAGACTCCATCTCCTTTTCAGTACAAAATATTTAGATGTGGCAAATACAGAAATTTAATAACAGCCTACACAGACAAGCAAAAGCAATATAGTTTTATCCAAGAAATCAAACAATTTCAGTGAAACACACTTGTGTGTCTCTTGGTAAAAAACAAGAGCAGCAGAGTAAACAGTGCTAAAAATCCATGGGAAAAATCTTAAATTCCTCAAATTAGCAAGCTGTTTCACTGCTCAGTATTTATTTTAAATCTACATGGCACTGAAACTTTTACTGGAACATATAAAAAAAACTCATACCTACTTTCACAGACAACACTGCTGGCCTCTGTTATATCACCAAAACATTCAAATTGCTACAACTCTTTTCTTTTAAACTTCTGCGTTTAGACTAAAACTTAAGAAATAGCCTCAAGAACTGGTACAGTGTTGTTTCTAGCCCTAAATTAGACCAACAGAGTCCTGTAAATTAGGATTAAGCTGAGAGGGTACATCTGCACACAGAAGTAAGGTGAAGCTCGGTACAATCTGCACCTTTTTACCACCAGTGTTTAGTCATACCTGGCTTTGCCAGTTTTATACTTTCAAGGATATCCTAATCTAATTACAATAATAGAAACCATCATGAAATCACAACACAAGTAATAGGTTCCATGGCAAAAAACTCATCTGAAGGAATGTAATAACACTAATGAATAATTTCACTGTTCTCCAGCATCTGGAGTATATTGTGTATAGCATTCACTTTTTGTTTTCAACTCAAATATTATAAATGGCCAGTGGGAAGAGGCAATTTAACTTGGGCTACCTGTACAACTTTTGCAAACTATAGAATGCATAGTCCAACCAGTCATTTCAGTTTGAAATTGTCTTTGTTGCAGAATCCTAAGCAATCACTTTTAACAAAACCATTCTGACTTCTAATTATACACTCCCAGGATTAGCTAGGATTTGTATATAATTTGCAGAGATATTCTTCTCCTCTTTTAAACCAGCATTGCATGCAAACCCTTAAGACACCCAATTTAAATCAAGAGTAAAACTTAGTCAAGAATTTCTGAGAATTTGAGATACTACAATAAACCTGATTGCACACATGTGCATTGATGGTAAAATACCACACACACAAAAGGCTAATAAGTACATGATTGCTGCTTATGGAGAATTTTGGATCCACAACAGATCTGTATTCCTGCACTGCTGAAAGCCTTGAGAGATTTAGGAGACCACTGATTCAATGATATAAATAAACCACATAAAGACAGATCAAGAACCCTATCTTCAAACAACACTGAATATAAAGTCAGAGAAAACAGATGACTATTGAACATATACACAACAAAATGCAAAATTAAATAAAAAAAGAGACATTATTAGCATGCAAGGCAGTGCTCTCAGCAAATTCACAAGAAAACCCTTCACAGGCTTCAGGGCAGAAGTGACTTTTGAAGAGTGAGATGCTGGAAGCAACAACACTGAAGACACATAAGGGGAGGTCCATCAAAGCATCAGAGCAAGCACTGGCAAAACAGAACTCTGCAAATATTTATGTGAAGACTTCAGAATACATTGTTAGGTTTCAGTTCATTTAGCTGACTTGTACTGTTCCTGAAATGAACAGCCTTTCCTTCCATGCTGCTCAGGGTCTACTGCTCCCAAAGCCTCCTAGAAATAATGGGACCAAAGGACAGGTGCAACCCACCCTCTGACTCGATGGAAGAAAAAGTAACATCTCTTCCAGCACCTTGCTTCACAAAAGCAGCACTGCTTCCAGGAGAAACAGGAAATCTCCCATAAGAGCACTCTTACTACCTTAGAACAACTAAATTCTCACACCATACCTCTATACAACAACAATCACTTAGAAAGAGGAAAAACCCCTCAGGCACCAGAGGATATTAGGAGACTTCCAGAGACTGTAACAATCGTCATCACCGCAATGACCAAATACACTTAATGATGAAATCCCATACTGTTTTGAAAACTCACCCAATCTATGAAAGTCTCACTCTCCCTCAACAGTACCTTATTTATCCAAGATATTTTTTTTCCAAAAGAATGCTTTGAGTTACCCGGGGCAGTAACTTGAACTTGTATTGTGATCATAAAGCTAAGTTTTAATTTTCAGCATTGCAAGCTGTGAACAAAATTGTCAGTCAAAGTTTTCTGATAACATTCTTGGAATCGTTTTTGAAAGCCTTAATTTGAGTAGCCCATAGGCACATAAGAAGAGATAATCTCTGACTTCAGCAGTTTCTTACACAAGCTTCTAATTCTAAGAATAGCCAAGTCCAGCTCCTATTCATGTCCTTCCATGCTGAGACTGTGCTGCACCTATAGCAGAGATGCTCAACTCGAATTTGGCATGTTTAAATGGCTTTTATACACACTCTGAAACCAGCATATTTTTACACAGCAACTTTGAATGAAAATTAAAATCGCACTCAGAACTTCCTTAAAAACCTTTTAAGGTTACAGCATTGCCCCTAACAAAGTTGCCGGACTTCCAAAAGGACAGCGTTAACTCCTACTGGGAGATCTCCCCATCTGGTTTCTCCCTTAGCAACCAACGAGCAGTTCGGCGGAGCTGTCTTACCTCGGAGAAATTAACTGCCAAGGGGATAATTCCTGCCACATAGCAGGCAACCAGCATGGCCAGGGACAGCAGGCAGATGGAGGGGAAGTCATCCATTTCGCCGCTTTCTGTGCGGTCCCTTGAAGTGAAATTCAACAGCAACTTTTCCACCTCGCCCGGCCGCACGCCTTAGCCCGTGCAGACACCGAGCTCCCAGGAGAGGCTCTCAGCCATGTCTCTGTCGCCCGGCGGCTCCGGCCGGCTGTGCCCCCAGCCGGGGGTCCGCGGGGAGACCCGCCAAGGCCGGGGGGCGGGGGGGGGCTCTGCCCTCGGCGGGCAGGCCCGGCCCTCACCTGAGCCAGAGGAACCCTCCCCCGCACCGCGCCGCTCCCAGGGGAGGCGGGACGGGACAGCGAGCACCCCAGCGGCTTCTCACAGCGGGGACGAGGGGACGCTGCGGGACCGACGCTCTTGCCCCGCACCCGCTGCCCGAGTGGCACGTCCGAACTTCCCCTTCCGGGCCGGGCCGGGCCGCGCCTCGCCCAGCCCCGCGCGCTTCCCGGCCCCAAGATGGCGGGCGAGGCCGCGGGCTGGCGGGAAGAACCCTGACCCTCACCAAAGATGGCCGCGCGCCCCGCCCCGCCCCCGCCGCTCCGGGGAGGCCTCCCCCGCCGGCCCTGTGGGCGCGTGCGCGCGCGCGCGAGCGGCGCTCTGGCGCGGGCGGCTCTATGGTGGCGGCCGTTGGCGCGACGGCGCTTCCGGCGGGCGCGGGGGCCTGTGGGGGATCGCCGCGCGCCACTTCTGCCTGGCAGTGCTGAGGGAGCGGAGCCGCCATGGTGAGAGCGGGACGGGACCCGCCGGGCGGGACGGGACCCGCCGGGCGGGACGGGACCCACCGCGCCCGCATGAGCTGTACTCCTATCCCTTCCACTCCCTTCCCTTCCCATGGGTGGCCGCGGCCGGGAAGGCTGCGGCCGGCGGTGCGGGCCCGGGCGGGCGGCAGCACGTTTTGGCGGGGCAGGGCCGGACGAGGCGGGGGCACAAAGGCGGCAGAGGCACTCGTGGAGGGGCGGACTGGGGGCTCCCGCCTTCCCCCCGGCAGCTCAGGCCCCTTTCTCAGGGCGCTGCTGGAAGCGCGTCTCTTTCCCTCGAGTCTCGCTCGTCGAGCGAGTCTGCCTTAAATGGCTGATTGGCGCTTTCCATGCTGCTGTCCCTGCTCCTTCCCTCCGGTCGGAGAAGGGAAAGGCGGGAGCGTGCGTTGGTGGGCTGTCGGAATGGCACGCTAAAGTTCGAAGGCCTCCCTCATCGCGGTTTGTTGCCTTCACCTAATGAATTAGGATACGTTGCAGCAAGTTGTTGCCTCATGGCGGGAAGAAGCTGCTTCTGGGTCTGCAGCGAAGCTCCATATCTGCCTGGCACTTGATCGAAGCAGTTGGCTTCGGCCAGGATGAGCAGCTACAAGCTCTCTCTGTGTTGTCCAGAGTGAAGAGTGACCCTTAGACCACTTTTTCTGCCTAGCAGAGGGAACTAAAAGGCATTTAGGTGTCTGCAATGTGCTACTGCTAGTTGCATCACTGCACATCTTACCCTTGCAATCCGTGTTTATCTTCCTTTTTTATTGTTTTGGAGCCTTTTTTTTTTTTGCTTTATTGTCTAATAGACTACAATTGGTGGAAGCCTCTTTGCACACATGCTGCCTAGCTTTTAAGTCCTTCTGGTTTGGCTGTCGGCCCTGTCTTAACCAATTTTACAGGGTTCTGCCTTGAGTAACAAGAGCAATTTGTAAAGTTCTCTCTAGAAGTTCAGAATTGGTATAATATAAACATATGGTGTCTCATTACGTGTCCTTCTTAACAGCCAGTCCACCTATGCTTTTAAAGAAAATGCAGGGAAGGGTCCATATTGGGCTTTTTCAGATAACCTGGTGCTAATGCAAAAAGGTTTATGGATCTTCCCTTGTTTTGGTTTTGTGTCACCTAGGCAAGTGGGGCAGGTAATAATAGTCAGAGGAAACTTCCAGCAGGCTTCTGAACTTGTCATTTTTTGTGCCTACGTGGTAGGGCCGGACCAGCAATTTTATCAAATCAAACAATTTCTTTTTTTTTTCCCCTTAAGGTAACATGAAGATCCCCCAAAAAATGTTTGAAAAGCATTAATTCTACAATACAGATGGTCCCAATGGCATTAATTTTAATATTTTCCAGGCCACTATCTGATATGGATGTTGTATAGTGTCTGAAGTGATAAACAGCTTAAAGTCAGAAGCCCAAATAATTTCTGCTGTGAAGTTCTTTAAATGTCTGGCTCACTGATTTTTTAATTTTTTTCAGTCTAAAGATTTGGATAATTTCAGAATATATGATTAATTTAATGCTCCTCAGTGACCAGCTAATTAAAATGATAGTGCTGGAAAAATTGCTTGGACTCCCTGGCAAGACAAGCCTGTTCAAGTGCAGTGCACTAGGGACAGCCAAATACCGGCCCCCTTGGGGAATTCCTGTCAAATCCAGCGTCCTCTGGCATACATGAGAGTGGACTTAAATGATCTGGTCTCCTTTGTGTGATTCTTGTTGTTACAGTGTGTAGCTCTCAATTCCCCTCTTCTGCCGCTTCTGACTGGGAGAAGCCTTGCTGCTTCTTTTACTCCATGTAACTTTTTCCTGGACTTCTTGGACTCTGCAACTGCTGTGTTATTTGAGGCAGAATTTAAAGAACTGAAAACTGTTTATTCCAAGCATGAGAACACTGTCAGTCATGGGACAAGAATTTGTCCCGTTTTCTTCTTATATATTTCTTGTAAATCCTAATATTTGTCGTTTCTATTTTCTGTCATGGCATGTGATAAACACTGAAATGGTGTCTTCACTGATGCCCAAAGTATGGTTCAGGATTTTTCTGTCAGCAGCTGATTAATTTAAGCCAAATAATATGTTTTACTCTGCAGTTGCCTCTTAGTTGTGTGCTCACCTCTTATATTAGCACTGAAAATGTTGGAGCCAATTAGCAGCACTGGAAATGGCCATTTTTGTAGCATGCTTGCGAACTTTCTGTGCTATGTACCTTTTTAATTAGATCACAGATTGTGTACACTTGAAAAATTCTTGCTCACTCTTTGCTCAGATTACTTGCAGTAGCAAAGTGAAAAACGTTATGGAAATAATGGAAGCCACAGAGTGTACAATCATCTAAGTCTTCCCTGCAGAAGAACAAGCTTATGGACTCCAACATTTACAACAGTTTTCTGTGCCATAATTACTGTTTCAGTAAACTCATTGAAGTGTGAAAACCCAGTACATCTGTTTTGCAGGAAGTAATCTTGGATACTAAGTGCAGATTTGTTATATAATTTGTGTTCCCTTGAAATTAAATGAATAACTCAAAATAGCTATTGCTGTTAAAATCTTAAAGGTGAGAGTGACAATGTGATTAAGTTGGATCCCCTCCTTGCACTTTAATTGGGGCATTTGAAATCTTACTAACAGCTTGCATTTGGAATAAAATAAGTAAATGCACTAATGCCGTAGCTTTTATACGGTGACCTTACTGCTTTGCTTTTGTGTCTAGATAGAAACTACTATTTCTGTGGTATCTTTTTTCAACACAGTAGCTGCTTTACTGGTGATATTACACATTTTAAAATTCTATAAGGATTGATAGGACTGATTGGAAACAAAAGTTAACACAGCTTATATGAATAGTAAATGCTATTTGGAAAATGTGTCCTTGATTGCTAGTTCACTATTTTAATATTATGCTGCTTTTTGGTGCTTCCTTCAGATAAATTACTTGAATCAAACACAAATCATTCAAATTGTGCAAGTAACCTGTTTTCTTGATGTTTGTTTTGTTTTCCAGTCTCACACAATTCTACTTGTCCAGCCTACCAAGAGGCCAGAAGGCAGAACATACGCTGACTATGAATCGGTGAATGAGTGCATGGAAGGTGGGTGAAGACATGGGGTTTTAAACACCAGTTTTTAACTACCATTTTTGACATACTGTCAAAATTACTCAGTAAGAAAATAAATTGCTCTTCATGTTTTTCAAAGGTAGTTCACAGAAAAAAATTTGAAAAAGTGTCTCATGCTTTTAGTTTGCTAATGTTCTAGCAAATGAACAACTAGTTGTTATTTGTTCCTAAAACTTTCTTTTAATCTTAAATATTTGTTTTTGATTTAACTAGATGAAGTCACATTCAGTTTGGGAGAGTATGCAATATTCTTGGCGGGGCCATGCAGCGGACTTGCTTCAGTTCATTTTATTGCAGGATCAGCACCTAATTCTCACTAATCTTTGTGGCAGCACTGTAAAGGAAAGATTACTACTGGATATAATATATTAAATAAAACATTTTGTGCAGTTGATACATAACTTACAGCCTCTTGGTGTATGTGCCAGAGTAAAGATCCTGTGAGACTTTGAGTCACCTAATGAGCTTGGAAAGAAGATTGACATACTAGAGCTGTAGTTCACTTAACATTAATGTTCCAGGAAGTTTTGCAAGGCAAACAAAAGCATAATAAAGACTATGTAAAGCCTCTATGCTCACTTTAATATTACATTCTTCTCAAATGTATCTGAACTATTTGTGGGCTAGCTTAAATAAATAAAACTGATTTAAATTAATTAAGCTATTTAGGTTTGTGCTGTCAGTCTTACCTCAGTAGTCCTGTTTGACTCTGTGATGAATAATGATCATTCTTATGAGTTCTTCTATTTCTCAGGTGTTTTGTACAGTAGAAATATATGTTGTAATTGCCGTCTTAAAATTATTAGGAGTTCTAGGTGTCCATTGGAGCTTACTGCATGGAAAGGTATATATTTGATAGAGCTAAAACTTTCTCCTCTACATGACGCAAATTCTTTTTTCCATGCATCTTACCTGATTTTATAGTATTATGTTTCAGTGCAAATAGCTAGAACAAAAGAATTTCAACTCTGCAAAATCTTGACTGTCTCTCTGTTTTTATGGTATTCATCTCTAAACTTTCCTTATATTTATGGATCAATAGCTGAAGAAGTTTCAGCAAATACAGTTTTTAACATTGCATTGTTAAACTTGTCCCTCTGTAGGAGTCTGTAAAATGTATGAAGAGCATCTGAAGAGAATGAATCCCAACAGTCCATCCATTACATATGATATCAGCCAATTGTTTGACTTCATTGATGACTTGGCAGACCTCAGCTGTCTTGTGTAAGTTCAGTTGTATAAATCCATTTCACTGACTCAGGGAAGTCACAAGTCTTCCCTCTAAACTCTTACACATTTTATTTGAGTGTTTTTTGCAATAACTGTAGTGCAACAGTATTGTAGCTGCCATAACATGTTGCCTGCTCCAATTATCTGCATTGAAATCTCTAAGGAAGGCTTAGAAAATGACAATTCCAGTTGGATTTTAGTCACATTGAAGCTTACAGCATTTCAGATACTGAAATCCAACAGTTTAATACAGCTGCTTATTTTATTACTGCTAGAATCTGTTTAAATTGGGGCTGTATGTGCCTTTGTGCCGTTGGTCCGATTCCTAAGGAGGCAGAATAGTTACAGAACTTTTTCCAGCTGAGAGCAGTACTAGTGGTACGGTAGAAGTCTACAGAAGTGCATTACAGCCAGCTGTTTATTTTGAGCACGATACAGCAAGATGGAAGTTTCTGTAAATGCTAATGAAGTGACCGAGGAACAGATGAATCCTCTAGAAAGCCTAGCTAATTGTTTACATGCTCTCGTGAAAACATTATCTCCAGTCCTCATTTGTGTGTCGGAGTTGTGGGCAAGCAAAGATGGTCTTGAGTACTTTCCATTCTGACTGCACTGTGAAATCAAATGTTAAATTTCACTGTCCAGAACAAAACTTAGTGTTAGGTTGAGTACTTTCCATACCATAAATTTCAAGGTAATGGTTTGGTATGACAGTGGTATCAACTTTGCAGAAATTCCATAGGAATAAGGATACAAATCTCATATTCAAGTAACAAAAGACACAGTATTAGGCTTTTGAATCTCAAAATTCCAGAACATTTTTAAGCCCATGAGTTTCTGGTATAGACATTCCTGCAGCTGTACTGCTGTGGCTGAAATTCTGGTGCAAGTACTTGTCTAGCTGCACAGTGAACAGACTTTGCCAGTTAATTCCAGTTTAAAATAATAATTTATTTAAAAAAACTGAGCATCGGATTGTTTTCCTTTGTATTCTGATGTACAGTACAAAATTTCTTACTGATAATGACTTGTTGCAAATTCCGTTTGCTAAAGTTTTGAGTAGAATAAGTAAAATGGGCTTACAGGTTCTGCAGAGTTGGTTTGACCCTAGACATTCTGCCACCTTTGATTTTCAAGTGTCATATTGCTGGGCTGATGCAGGTTTTGAAAACCTCAGTTTATCTAACAGACTAAAGCTCGCCAGTTGCTTTAGGAGGTAGCAACTGTTTTCTAGTACAGTCTTGTGCCTTTGTTAATTAGGCTCCTAAACTCAGTGTTGTGCCAAATTCTACTTCAGCTTTTAGTTTTCCACCAGATGGCATACTTAGCACGAGGTGTATCAGACATGTCCTGTGTTCATGGAGATTCCTGAAGGACTTGCTGTCTGATCTTGCGGTGTAGCACTGTGAGTGGATTTGGGGGTGGGGGATAGAAAATAATAACTTTTCCTGAAACTAACATTTCTTACACTGCACAAGAACTACTGCTCTATCAACATAAACTCTTTCTTTGGCCTTGAACAAGTCATGCTGAGGTTTTAAAAGGCTTTCTTAGAAACAGTGTGCTTAGGGTGTTTTCCTTAGGTAAGAACTGTAAATTGTTCTGGATTGAATTAATTTCAGATTTTTATTCAGGTTCTTACCAATGACCATCTCACCTTTCTTACCTGGTCAGAAGTATGTGTACCAAGATTTAAAGACTGATCAGGATTTTAGTAGTTCTTGAAGCATTCACTGAAAGTACCATCTTCACGAACAAAATATTCAACTTTAATGAATGAGGGAGAAAGAAAGGCATGAATACACAGATGCAATTTCAGGCAATTTGCTTTCATTTTTCAGTCTCATTCTGCTTCGATTCAGCAGTGTCCTGGGTAACTGAATTCTCTGGCCCCTGCTAGTCTTGCTAGGAAACTGCTTTTATCAACTATCCCTGAGCAGCAAAGAAGACACGTGGGTTTTTGTTTTCAGTTTGCTTTTTATGAATTGACTTTGTTAGATGCAAGCCTGTCCTCACTGACAACTGGCAGGAATCCTTTGTCATCCATCTCTGAGTCTACCTTTGCTCCTGGAAAAATTTGGGTTTATAAATTTTCAGGAAATTCCAGACAAAAGTTGAACACTTGAAAACTTAATAAAGAAGTGTAGAAGAAGCGTTTGGCTCCTTAAGACAAATTCGATCGTTCCCTGGTGGAACTATTCTTCATTCTGAGCTCTAGAATACTAAGATTCTCCATTAGTTGTCTCCCATACGTAATTGTATTCATGAATTAAAATGTGAACACACTGTGATCCAGTCACTCGATAATCCTTGGAACATATAGTTTTATTTCAGGGTCAGACTGATCTGCTGCGTAACTTTTTTAGGGAACAGGATAAATCCATTTGATAAGTGGCAATTCCCATCTACTTCTGATATTACTTATGATCTGTACACAACTTTCTGCTTCATACACTTGAGGACACTTAATTGTTTGTGAAGTTCTTCTGGTAAATGTACTGCAGGGCAGATTAACATTCATTATTTTTTTTTTCTTTCTAGTTACCGTGCTGACACTCAGACATACCAACCGTACAATAAAGACTGGATAAAGGAGAAGATCTACGTCCTCCTTCGCAGGCAGGCCCAGCAAGCAAGCAAATAATGGGGGCACCACCATCACATGGGTTTGGGGGAGGGCTTGGACAACAGGTGTGTACAGAGTGTAGTAGTGAACGTTTTGTATTATAGTCATCCTGTTGCCATCTTGATAAACTCTTTAGTCAGGACTGAATGTATTGTTAGAGATACAAGGATTTTGTTGGATTTGTCTTTTTTTTTCAGTGTAAATGGAGAAGAAAGTACAACATCTTCTGCGGAGATTTGATTTGGGTTTTTTTCCTCCAGTTAGCTAATGGTCCTACTTTATTTGAACCCTTGGGGCTGTTCACATTGTACTTCACCACATTTGCTGTATGTGCCCTTCTGTGGGCTTTCCAACATTCAGTTACATCCTTGAGATGGTCCTAATGGGAAATAAAACTACCCTTTGGTTAAATTTGAGTGCTGAATTTTATGAATTTTGCCAAAAAACACAAATCTTTTTTTCCCTGTTATCTGAGGAATAGGGCTTGAAAGGTCATGTGGACTGAACCAACAGTTGTTTGCTGTATTACAGAACAGCTCAAATTCTGGCCTAGTCTTGATACTGTCTTCCCTGGGGATCTTTGGGAAACACAGCAACCCTCTTGCACTCTATACTTGATCTTTATATGAGGCATTTGTATTCAAGTGTGTCTGCTCTGGGATAGGTGATGGATAAGAGCAGGCTGAATGTATCACATCACAGAATTAGTCTACTCACAACTTTCCCCTGATAAAGGGTAAGGATTTAACTGTTTACACACACTGTAAAATTGTATCTGCCCCTGTCTCTCTTGAACACTAATGTCTTTGTAATTTTGCTGTACAGAAAAGGTTTGGACTGAAGGACTCATTAGACCAAAAATTAGAGCAGGTAGAAAAGCAAGGCTGGATTGGTACTTTGTTCCTTTGTGTTAGTTCAGTTAGCCTGCTATAGGTACATATTTAAGTCACAGACTGTACATGTATACTCAACCAAGAGCAGTTCCAGGATTGACACAGGAATGCAATTCTCTCCAATGCACCTCACTTCCTAATACACATCAGTAGTTTCTGATGGATCTCACAGCAAATGCACTGGCTTAAAAGAATTTGAGGTCAAATTGACTGTCTATAATAAGCTTTCATGAAAATAGCTTCCTTTAAGTGGTAAGTAATAGCTGCTGAAGACTGGGAATTGAATTATTGAAGAGACACAAGTTCTTAGAAAGATACTCAGGAGAGGGTGTTAAACTTTTCTGTCAACACAAATACAGGTTGAAGATTAGACCTACTAGCTCTAGAATTATAGTGACCGGGAATAAATTCAATCTGCTAACATCAAAACATGCTTCCTTTATAATAAATAGTGATTTTCAAAATGTAGTAAGTCAGAAGTATATTAATCCATCGATGGTTACTTAAATCTATAAATACTTTGGCATGGAAGTTTTATATACAGCTTGACACAGTAAGTAATACTTAAAAGATTCACTATTGCCCCTCTAATAACAATCTGGTTTAATATAAGCAATGTTATTTAAACAGCTTGTATAGTTTATCCTCCTGGATAGCACACAGTAGAATAATGTGTCTTTCCTAGCATGTTTGAGGTTAACTTCATTTTTTTTTTTTTTGGTAAAAATTCCAGTATTCTCATGCTGGATTATTCAAGGTGCTAAATTTTGCAGTCTTTAACTGCAAAGACTGCAATTTTGCAGTCTTTAAATTAAGCCAAATAAACATCCCTTGACAGTACCTATCACATTTAAAACAGTGATTTAATATTTTCCTCATTTTGCGAACTTGTTTTCAGTTCAAGGAAAAGCAGCAATTTGGGCTCTTTCCTTATTGTGAAATGTGCAAGGAGCATGCTGAATCCCTAGTAATCAGGAATTGGAACATAACATAGCTCTTCCTTCAAAGATATCCTAAATTCTGTCTGATTAAAAAATATCTTCCTTGATTTTGGCTCTAGTATAGTAACTGCAAACTAAGACCACTAAACAAGTATAAAATATGAATTTCTTGTGTTAGAGCAGAAAATAGGAAGAAGGAACTTCAAAGCAAGTGGTAATAAGCCTTTTTGCAAGGGACTTTGCGAAGGTATGTTTTTTAGTTTTTTGAAAAGTAGAAGGTGGTAAGCAAGCTTTAACTTCAAGGTTTTTTCACTTTGTTTTTTTTAGCAGACAAAGTTCTGTGGTCATCTCTGTGAAACTGAAGTTTTCACAGAATTGGAAAATGCAAGTAAATGTTCCTTTTATACCTCTGGAGCCAGACTTGGCCTTCTGCTGATAAAAAAGTACAGTCTGTAGGCTACTTTAAGACAAGGCACTTGGGCATCACCTCTTTTCCCCCTTGTCACCCAGCTACAAGGCTTTTTTTCTTTTCTGAAATAAGCTACTAGTTAAAACTCTGTAGTACATAGTTCTTCAGCTGATGTTCTCCACAGTCCTTTAGAGTTGTGCTTTACTTGATAAACTATTCATGAAACAACGGGATTTGTTGCTTAACTGAGCAGCTGACCAAATACAATGAAAGGAAGAAAAAAATGCTGCAGCATCTACCTGGTGTGCAACTAGCTAGAAAGAAGAATCTGGAAAGTTGTCTCCAACTAATCACTGCCTTCAGAAATACAGTGAAGAGGCTTATGAACCCTTGGAAACTTATTACATGCCAGTAGGCTGGCACTCTAGTAAGGTAGTCTGCTCTAGCAGGCCAGGTGAAAAATGACTCTCCAGTTTGCTTCTTGGCTCCTACTGAGTAAAGGATGACAGGAGGGCATTTACTACTTTTTGCAGTTTCACCTCTCCTTAGAGGCATCAGACAGCACTTTGATATTTGATATTGATCATTTTCCCAAGTTCAGCTGCTTTAAAAGTGAGGCTCAGCAGCAGCATTTTACAAGTAAAGCCATAAAAAATGGCATGATTACAGAAAGTATGTCAGAAAAGAATCTGCCATCCCATGCGTGCTTTGCCTGCAGCAAATCGTCTGGTGTTTCTTGCTTAAGGATAAGCACAAGTAGCAGTGCTGGTCATGCCTGTTACAGTGTGGGAGTAAATGATAAAGGAAATTATATTGGCTGTTTCTGTAGGAGAGTGGTATGGTATTGTAAAACAGGGATAAAGAATGGAATCCAGAGACCTAGTATTTCCAAGTGTGGAAATACTTAATATTAAAAGCAAGTTCATTAAGCAAGCCTAGCCTCAGGCCAAGGAGATGTATGAGCCCTCATCCATTTGCCAGGAGTGCAGAGGTGCTTGCCTGACTTCTGCTTGTCTTGTGGAGCCAGGAACCATGCTGCTTCTTTGCTTACTATGGAATAGGGAAGTCCTTCCACAGTCTCTGGACTGCCTGTTATGGATTTCAAGTTGATGCATGACTGGACCAGTACAACTAATTTCTTGGCATGGCTGTTCACTAAGTATGGTGAAGTTCTGTGATGGCTGAGCTGATCTAGCAGTTCCCTGCTGTTGAAAGGCATAATGGTACTTCATACTATGTACAAAAGAGATATTGGGTGTTGTGGGGAAGGGGAGAACAGGACTGCCAATCAGCACTGACAAGCAGAGTAGCTGATCACTTAAAAACCAAAAAACAAACTGAGATTTTTGAGAACAAGCAAGCATGGTAGATAAATTGGTGGATATATATCAGGGACCAGTTTATCTACCACTGCATGCTTCTGCCAGTCAGTAATGCACTGGATCAGGGAGTAACCTCACTAAGATTAGAATCTGAATTCTGTTTGACACCACAATAATAACAGGATCTCTCTCTTACAGGAATCCCTTTCTGCAGCCTCTGTAGTCAGTATGCTGAAGGGGAATTGTGAAAAGCAAAAGTGAGTTTGTATTCCTGCTTTGATGGTGAAATAAGCTAGGTAGTTAAAATACTTGTCTACTGCTGTGCTGGTTAAAAGGTAAACCAGCAGGGGAAATGAACTCAACTCAAAGGGAGATTATAAGTCAGAATAACAATTTAATAAAATAATACAATAAATACGATTATACAGACAAACAGTTGGTTTTAACCCACAAAACCCAAATGTATAACCCAGCACCCTGGGCATGAACAGAGTGGTGTTTGTTGGGCCCCCTGAGTCCAAAGTAAAAGGAGAGGGAAAAACCTGCTGGTGAGAGAGCTGTTGCAGTCTGGTCAAGAGTGATGGTTGCAGTCCGGTTGAAAAGTGATGGTTGCAGTCCAGTCGAGAGTGATGGCTGCAGTCTGGTTGAGAGTGGTGGTCTGCAGTCTTCCTCTGGATCCCACGAGTGATTAAAAAAGTCCCAAGACTCCAAGATTATATCCTCCAGTTCAGGCAGGAATGCCCAGTACCTCCCTCAGGGCGGGGAGTTCCACAATGGGTGTGAGGACAGGGGGCACCCTCCTATCTCCCAGGCCTCTTAACACCCAGTTTATAGCCTGAGGAGTCAGGCTGCTCTGGGCAGAGGGTGTAAATGGTCTGTTGATAACAGTTTCTGGGAAATGGCATGGAAGGCTATAGAATACACAGTTTTGGGTTACACCCATACAGTGATGAACTGGTCCCAGCTGTTCTAACTAGGACAACTGCTATTTCTACGATCGATCGTGTTGTTTTAAAATAGACCATAATCTTGACATCCGTCACGATGCATCATAAGCAGAGCGGGAAAGTAGCAGCATCCCCATTGTTAGATCAGTTGGCTCTTGTGCTTAACACTGCTGTCGTGTACAGGGGGGAAAAGCTAAGTAGTAGCAAGACCACCTTGTTATCTTTTTTAGTAACTAATAAACCTGTTACAGCAAAAGGAGACTTGACTACCCACAGTATTTTTTAGGTTGAAAGAACCACTAGATTTTTCACTTGCATTAGAAAAGCGTAAGAAAGTTGCAAATTTGCTGGTTGTAATCCCATTACAGTATGCCAAGCAATTTGTGCTAGTTTGTGATGCGCTGCTCCAGCTGCTTTGCTTTAGAGTATATAAACAGTTACATACATTTGCAATCCCCACTGAGTAAGGGCCTGATTGTACTAAAACTCAGCTACATTGAAAACTCAAACAATCCATCAAGAATGGTAATAAACAGTAAAATCGAGGGTAGCTGGGTTACAAGTACAGAGTAATTTCAAGCTCCTGCTTTTGACTGCTATGAAGCTGTTAAGTGTCTTCTAGACCCTGGTGAGCATTGAAACAAATTGCTTTACCATTATCATAAGTTGGGGGGGGCGGGGAGTATTTGGGGGATCAGGTAGCATAATTTAGCAATTCTCCAGCATGAGACAGGCTATGGATGAGGCTGGAGATTCTCAGCATCTTTCTCAGGCTCACTGAGCCTCTGAGCAACTTGCCTTAGGTACCCACTTGCCTCTGAAGTCCAGAAGTGTTGACTTCAGCATTTGCCTCAAGGTAAAATGATAAATAACTTGTACTAGCTATACATAAACTGCAA